CCTGCTCATCCACCACCCCCCCAACCCTGAGCCCTACCTTACCTTCCCCTACCCCTAAGCCCAAAAAACTACGCCCTCCCCCGCCTAATGAGTTGGGGCAGGTCGCCGCGTTCAAGCGCAGCGGCCCTCTGGTGAGCGCTTGCTTCCTCCAAAGGAGGCTCTGTGGCTTTCCCTTGAAAACAGAACTATATGGATAACCAGGGTTATTATTATTACTGTTATCTATTATCACTATTAGTTAATAACCTTACGATTATTATCATTCATTATTCCTATTATAGAGTCCACAGGCCGGAGTCGGGGTAGGGATGAAAGGCCTGTGTGGATAACGGTGGGAACTTTCAAAACTAAGAGACAGGACGGGGGGTGTAATGGGGGTGTATAGGTCGAGTCTTGTGGCTACGCTTTCTTGGGTGAAGTTTATAAGGATCAGCTGCAGGGAGGATGTAGGAGCATTTTTGGCGTTATACAGGCTGTGTGGTTGTCGAACCAATAGCTAGAGTAGGGATGGTGTTACATTCCTCTAAGGCCGATTGTACTCAATATGTCGTCACCCTTAGTTTCCCGTATGCTAACTCCTAGCAACCCGAGGGTCCCTCACAAAAGGATCTACGAGCGGGACTGGACTCGTAGGGAACGCTTACAATCAGCGCTCCTTGGTTTTTCAGTATGGCTTAGACGTAGGTGCTGATCATATGGTGCTTGTAATGTCTTATAATTGGGTTCTATGCAGTTGCATAGAGGGTGTTTCAAGCACAGATTGGTGCTCGTTCAAAGGATTCATCTCGGTTAGACAGGAACCACTCGGCCTTACAGATTACAACGGCCTTTGAAGCCTGGACTGCATCTTCGTTTTGTTGAAGCAAGTTTGGGAGCCAGATTGATGATTCGAAGCTTGAATTGGCGGAGCAGGTCAGGGGGTCCAGGACTGTAGCCGTGTTTTTTGCCACTTGAGATGTGAGGGAAGTAGTCCACAACATCTAGAGGGCTGCAGGCCTGTTCCCTTTTTACATGTCTATTTGGTTAAGCGGGAGAGACAGATCTCAGGGCGTGGGCAGCTCTAGGGATGAGGAATGAACTTTGCCAGCGCGCCTTGCCATAGAACGCAGTGATCAGAAGCCTAGAAGCAGTGGTCCTGAGTCCTGAATTAAACAACAAACCGACAAACCCCTCAAGGCTATGAAAAGTATGATGGGGTCGCTTGTCTGTTTCTGCATTACCTAAAAGCTGACAACACGACAACTGCGGAGGATGTTGAGAGGCTCCGCGAATTGGGTCGCCCGCCTGCTTGGCTCGAGCAGGCCTACGACAGGAACTAGTTCGGAAGTGTAGGTTTGGGGTTTAGGGTTCAGAGTTTAGGGGAATATTGAGGGTCAACGGCTTTTGGATTTTTCTGAAGCCTGGAAGCATGTGTCAGTCACTGTAAGTCTGCATCCTGGGTGTATTCCATCCTTTTTGAGCCATTGATGGCAACAACGGCCCTCGGTGTGGTTTACAGGTTGGATCCTACAAGGCTTACACTCTATACCCTCAACTTCTCACAAATAGAAGCCTTCAGACTCCTTGGCAACAGTATTCCCCCCCAACCCCCCCCCCCCAATATTAAATATTCCTTAATGTGGTATACTATATTCTGTTGGGAGTATCTAATATTAGGGGAGTGGGGGCTTTAATATTAGGGTGAGGGGATTAAGAGTTTCGGTAAACTGAGGATCGCGTTGCCTTCCTTAGTCGCGGAGACAAGTTGTTCTCACGTGGAGAAACAGGAGATCCTTGTTTTGAGGAACACAGGCTCGATGCCTGCACACATGCACTACACAACCATATCTGGCACCTGTGTATCTTATATTGCTGTATTTTAAGCATGTCCCTCTAAAGAGGGCGGTAGTGGCGATAACAACCCTTCACTATTGCCTGGAATCCGCTATTCCGAAATCCAAAGCCCTGACCCGCATTCCCACTAGTCCCTGAACCTTCATCCCTAGATCCTTATGTGGAGGTTTTCCAGAATCAGGGGTACCATATTGGGGGTCTCCATAATAAGGATTTCGGTATTTGGGGGCTTATATTGGGGTACCCTGGTTTGGGAAACTACCATACAACCCCAAACTTTTGATCTCTGAATTGTTCTGCGAGGCGAAGATCTCTAACTTCCAGCTGCTAAATGGATGGGAGCCGGTGTCCTCAGAGGTCACGCTGAGGCCACAGAGCGGCCTTGCAACGGCAGATCTGAGAATGAGGGTTTGATTGTAATTATATAGTCACTAAGCAATCTCTGTCCCTCAAGACAGGCTTCAATCCAGCGTCCGTGCCAGTGCCCCGTCAATTTGATTGCAACGACAGAGACGTTCGAAATGCTTGAAATGTGTTTCATCCCAAGCCTGCGTCCAGGGTAGGTCCTATGTAGCCTATGCAACTTTTGATTCTTGATTGTTCGAGCACCTACAGATCTTCCTTCTTGAATTTGCGTGTTGGCAGAAAGGGAACGGATTACAAATACAAGGTGTGAGGGGGGGTGGGCAGCTTGAGGTGCACCTTAGGCTTGCCACGGGCCCCTCTGATATTTGAGCTATTTTGAGCTATTTTCTGGTGTTGAAGGGTTTGCATCTGGAAACCTGCGCCGGTGTGCAAGCTGCCAGCTCCTGAAGTAGATTTCAGTTAACATGCTTCAAGTTCCCAGACAGCTTTTTCCCTAGAGCCCAGCACCTTGCACGAACTTGTCCAGGAACCTGCATGTTCGCGGCAGCATCCCGCCGCATGTGCAGGGTGGGATATACCTCCGCAACGGTCCCAACCAGGCTGGGACAGGGCAACTCAAAGGACCCATGTGGTGAGGAATGACCTGCATGCAACATCATATGAGCTCTTATCGGGTCAGTCTTCTTAACCTCCCAGTCCTCCAGTTCCGGGGACAAAAAACTGAGAGGAGAGTGCTTTGTCCATGATGCAACCATTGGATGAGCTAGTGCGCAAGGTCTTGCAGCGGCTGAATATCATCGCCGGGTAAGTTCAACATGAGTACGTTGCTGACCTGACACCAATATGCTATGCCATGCAAACTTGATACACAATTGAAAAAGATATGTGTGCTTCGAACAAACTTGACAATAGGCCAGGTGTCGCAACATGAGCCACTTAAGCTCAAGCCCCATTAGAAGCGTGTGCCTGACACAATCATGTGAGGCATTATACACCCTCATCCACCCCCAGTACGTAAAATGAACCTTTGTATCCTCAAGCATTTTGACGTTATTGCCAAGTTTCCGCATCCCCTGGAGTGAACACACCCCTTGTCGAAGGCCATGGCCCCTGTCTCCATGCAGGACCCCTCTGCAGTAAGATTCAACGAACTGTGGGGCTTTCTGGTTGAGCTCATTTTAGACTTGTGGTTGTGGAATAACGGTAATGCCTATTTTGGAGTCCAAGGCATTTCTGAAAATTGTTGGTCCCTTTATGGAATCTCCATATTCGGGTTGTACCTTCATGCAGGCCTTCAGGGCCCCTTCATGTCGGAAAGCTACCATGTGACCAGACTTGGGATAGCATTTTGGGGACCTAAACCCTAAAACCTGTAAAACTTATAAAATCCCTTTATAGTAGTTTCCATTGTCTTCTCCATTATCCCAATAAAACCTTAAAATAACTTTTAGGCAACAGAGGAGCTCAAGTTGAATTTCCGCCAGGTGTTGCACAGAATTGGTCCTGGGGATTATATGTGCATCCTAGCCCACATGCCGAGAGAACTGCAGGGTGCATTCTGCGAGGCAACTCAACGGATTGTGTTTGCAGCTTTGACTTTTATCAGCTGCATCGTGCGAATGCTGGTGAAAAAGTTGAGCGTCCCTGGCAGAAGAGGACTACCACATCTTTGATGGCCATGGTATGATCCACGCAGTGCGCTTCCTGAGCAGCAATGATGGCGCGGCTTGGGCTTTACAGAGGAACTGCCTGAGCTGTGATTGAGAGAGGTATCCTGCTGTCAAGTGCTGAGGCATAGTTGGAAATTGAAAGGAGTTCGGTGCCAAACGGCTTTCTGCCTTTAGATTTGAGGTAATCTACTCTAGGTTTCATGGCCGAAGCTGCGAATGCTATGCCCTAAGCCTACAGCAGCCAACCAAATTGAACCCTCCACCTGAAGCCTCGGAAGCACTAACCTTGACAGGTGCTCAGTGAGGGGTGAGGGCATGGATCGCTGAAGCAGCTCCTACAGCGTCATAGCGCCAATGGCATCCACAACAAGCCAGATCTCTTTGTCCCCAAACTCTCCTTTGCCTAAACCTCGAGCTCGACACCCTACTTCGAAATCCAAGGCCCTTGACCCAATCACTCACATAATCTATCCCCCCATGCCTGACACAGCGCTACTTCGGCTTCCTGTGTAATTACGTACAAATTGGAAATCTCCCAGAGATGGTCATAACTGGTTCTACTAGAAGTCACACTACTACTTATGGTCTTGTATACCTACCCATGAGCACCCCAGCACCTACTGAGGAATAATGAGTTACATGACTACTAGCTATGATTACTGCTCCCATCACTGCTCTGCAATTACCTACTGCTATTACTGATGCCCCGAGGCGACGTACTCCCGCCGCTATGTTCGGACGCAGGCGCTGGTCTTTGAGGCGTCCTACACGTGGCCTGCGGTTGTGTTTGATTTTGGGGTTCGGTGATTTGGCTGGGTAGAGTTTGGGGTTTGAGGCTTTGGAGCGTAGAGTTTGGGATACGTTGTTTTGGAGCAAATGGTTATTTCGTGCACGTAGAACAGTACAGTCTTGATGCTGCCCTCGCACCTACTAAATCTGTTGCCTGATGCCTAACGGCCTAACTCTTGTTTGAGAAATCCTGCTCACTCAGCTGTTTGTAATTAAAACATTTGTGCTGGACTCAGTGGTTCAGGGTTTTAGGCTCAAGCAAGTTGCAACGTCCAGGAAGCAAGTGCTTGACAACAAACAGCTTGGCTTGAGGAGTCCGAAGGCCAATGCCTGTACACCGGCATGAAGAAGATGCTGCCGCAGTTTCCCACCTTTTTCCGCCTGCTCTTTGAGAAATATTTTGGCTCCTCTGGAAAGACTGACTCTGAGCTGTTCGAGTGGCAGGCACAATTTTTATACGGATGGCTTCAGAATCGAAAAAGTTTCAAAGACCTGTATTTCTCTATGCCGCTGAGTGTTCGAGGACTTTCAGGGATCCGGTTGAGTTCGTAATGGGACTGCCTTCAGGTTGGACAGCACGCTCACAGGTCTTTGTTTTTTGGTCGAAAGTTTCTCACGGTTTTCTTTTGTAGGGATCTAAAGATTCCTTCTTCTTTTTCTTCTTTCATATTCATAAGTCCCCAAATCACCCCGATTTTCAGAAACTCCCATGCAACAGTCTCAGGATTCGCCCTACTGGGTGATTCAGAATCGCAATCCTGCTAACAACGGGTGCACCGTCCACGCTGGACGGGTTCTCGCGACGTGGGAGGCTGGTTGCCTGGCGACTCTTCACTTTACGTAGCTGTCAAAGTGCAGGTCCGCATTCTATCGCCACTAACTACTGAAATCTTGACTTTGCTACAAGCCTTCAAGAGGGATTCATGGTTCTGATATATCTGGTGCGTGATATCCCTTCAAGGTACTCACTTGAGCCTTCGAGTAAAGGGGAGAATCAGATGGAAAAAATCATGGAAAATGAAATGGAAACTCTAATATCCGACTATGTCCCTCTCAAGGGGTACATCAAAATTCCAAATTCTGATCCCAGACTCGTGCCCCAAAATGTCTGTCTCTTTTCCACTTGGTACCCAACAGATTGTTGTGTAAAGGCCCTTGTCTCGTACAGTAGCCTGTATGCCGGCGGAATGCAAATTTATGATTGGAGACATAATTTATGCACCTAGACTTCCGAAAACCCGGGTGAAGGAGGTCATGAGCAGGCGTTGCCAATGGTCCAGGCTCATCGTCCATACAGATAATGCCAGGCACTTGTGTTTTTCCGGAAGAGCCCTCCAAGCCTTCCTATGTCAAACTAAGCCTTTACCGGCCCAGGCAAGGGGTACGGTCAGGGGGATTTATTTATGGAGGGCGCACGGGGCTTATGGCCGCAGATGGGGCCCTTGGAGGCCCATATAAGGCTCCGCAAGGGCTTAATTTTACTGGCGTTTAGGGGGGTCTGCCCCTTTACCGGCCTGAACTAGTAATTTTTGCCCAAAGAACCTGAACCCGAGAAGACATGCTGTGCGAGGCCGTGCCAGAGAGAAAAATGCATAGCCTTCAACCTCAGCCTCACTTACCTCTCGGTGGCAAGGAATGATGGAATGGATCCTGATAGTAGTCCCTATGTAGTCCTCAAGAACATACTTTCCACATAATTTTCCATGCCCTTGATTTCAGGCTAACCCGAGGCAGGTCTGATATAGCCACCGCATAAATCCCAGTGTCCATTATTTGATTCTCTCTTTTTTGGTGGTGATCCACCTCCAAGCCCTATGCAATCTCCATAAAAGATGTAGGCCCCTAAAGCTTAGACCCTATACCATAATTTTCCTTAAGGGGCCCTGTTTGGCAAGCCAAGGTTGGGCCTATCAGCTGCAGCTTCCAAGCCTGGAAACCAGGGGTCTTTTCGATTTCAACGGCTCCTGGACCGACGGCGCTGTCACAGATGCTGGGCTCCAGGTTTAGGGTTGACTGTAGGGTCATGTGAGCCATAGTCTACACTCCTTAAAGGGGGCTTATATAGGGGATTATATTTTATAGGGGACTACTATAGGGGTTATTAAGGGGGATACTAGGAGTTTAGACTATAACTCATGTAGGGTTTATTGGGCATTGGGGGCTATATAGGAATTATGTAAAGTTTAGAGACATTACCCCAATCATGATGCTAGTCTAGGGCCGAGAAAAAAAGGCTCACGTGGGGATTGGATCGGCATAGGGATTTGGTTATTTTTCCGAAAAGTTGAATAGTGGAGAATCAGTGGAAAAGACAACAGAGCATGACATGGGAACTGGGGTCTATGTAATTAGGGGTTACATACATTGGGTCTGCAATAGACTAGGAAACCAATTAAGTAGAAGGACCCCAAAAAGGACTTGAAACCTTGCCAAGCACACTTATAAGTCTGGCAAGAGACCCCTGCGTGCAACACCATGGAAGCGTGCAGCATCGACTCTGCGAACCTGGAGCTTTTACTTTCAGGATGCCGCCTGCCCAAAAGAAGAGAAGCAAGACGGCGACTCGCCAGGGCCGCTGCTCTGGCTCAGAAGGACACAGGAGCAGACCCCTCACTACTTGGACAAGAGGATCATGAGTAGTGAGAACAGGGCTTCAACATCACCGACAACTGTGAGGACGTGGCTGTAGCTTTTAAGTTCTTGTAACCTCAGGCAAGCAACTGCAAAGGTCAGAATTTGTTTCAAGGCTCAAGAATTCAAACTTGCCCGATAGCTTCGCTGCGGATCAGCCGAGGACAATTGCAGCGCACACGGGAAGCAGGACCGGCTAGAACGTGAGAACCTGAAAGTTCTAAAGCGTAGATGTATTTCTGCTCCAATGGCAACCAGCCCGTCTACTTGTCTGGAGGCCTTGTAGAAGACTAGGCCATAGGTGCCAGGCGGTAGTGGAAGTCGCCTGTGTTGCACAAGGGTTACAAACTGCTGATAGACTAGATTAGGTTCGCTGCGATTTGCATTAAACTATATTATTATGGTTAGCTTGTCATCTGCAGCCACCATTTAACAAAAGAAAAAAAACTCACCGTGCCGTGATGCGGCCATAGCTTCTGCAAAAGGTCCATTCCGTGTATGCTTGGCTACTGTCTGGATGAATATTAGAGGTCTAAGGTGGAGTTGGCCTGCCGTGGGAAAGCATAAGTGTAGGATAGGATAGCATCTCTCGAGACCGATGACCCGTATTCACCGCGGCATTCAGGGTCTGTGAACATCTTCGCGTGTTATTCTGTTCCAGTTTCCCGCTTCCAGTTGTTGCCGATGAAGACGCAATGACCTCATTCAGATGCTGTAGAAACATGAATGTTGGGATGGCCTCTTACCGTATCCACCGTACTCAGCAGTTGTATCTGTCGATACCTCGGGCACAGTTGTCTTGTAGAGTATGGTGGAACTTCTGAGGTTTGAACCTTCCTATACTCCTTTACGGGAACCGACGCCATACCTGACAAACCTTGCCGTCCAGGGAAATAGGTGGATCTGGCAAACTTGCACGACGTTAATGGCAGGATCCGGAGACAGGCCAACTGATCACCATCTCCTACAACATGATCGAGCTTCCCCCGTGGCTGCGAGTTATCACAGTCAGTGCTGAAGGAACCCTGGAGAACACTGTGAAGATACCGCTGCCTTCTGGTGCTGCCCTTCTGCACGATTTCGGTATCACCAGCAGTCGCGTGGTCCTCAATGTTGGACCTTTAAATCTGGTTCCCATGAAGATGGTCACTGGCGCTCCTCCATTTGACTACGATTTTTCAGCCAAGCAGCTTGCCTTCCAATGGTCCAGTCAGTCTCCACCAGTACGATTGGAGAAGCGGTATTGGTTTGTGATTCGTTTTGCCGAAGCAAAGAGCTTGCAGTATTTGCCAATCTTCAACGGTGTTTCAACATTGCCTTTGCAGAACAATGTCCTGGAAATATGGAATGCACTTTACAACAGAACCCATCATCTCAAAAACATTCATACAAGCAACGATTTTTATATTTGATCCTGGAGCTTACACAGTCTAAGGACTTTAGGAGGGAC